ATTCTGTTGAGAATAAACTCAGCTTCGTTGGCAACACGCACTATGTGGTCCTTCATGGCGTGTGAAAGAAGTCTGGAGTCGAAAAGAGGAAGCATATTTGCAAAACATTTATAAGCTTATGTTAAAAAGGGAGAAGAACAAGTATATGTATCAAGGTTAGAAAGTCTTGAGGGGGTAAGGAGGTTAATTGAAAAAAAAAAAAGAAAAAAAAATACATTAGCATCTCATTATTAAATCATTTCACATTTGTAATATTCTACATTCTTTTGACAACTCTTTACTATTGTCATTTAACCTGGACAGTTAAATTTTTTGTTTAATATGAAATTTTTCTTAAAGCTTTTGTTTTAACAATTTAAAAAAAATATATATAGATATAAACATATACACACATAAATACACATATATACATATATATATGTATACACACACACACACACATTCATATTTGTTTTCTGCCTCATGCATTCCAGTTTTCACATAATTCCTATGTCAATAAAATCAAAGTGTTAGTTATGCAATACACATATTTCATATCATTATGCACATTCTATTTTCCAATGTACAGTACAATTCACACATCTGCCAGTAAATACACACAAAAATATTAATTCTGACTCACCTTCCCTCATTAATCAGTTCAATAAAAGCAAGACCTGCATGTTTCTGAAGTGAATTTTGCCACTCTTGTGAACACAGCAACATCACCAACTCCACTACACTCTGGCTGTGCTTGAATGTCATCAGTCCTGGAGAACAAAAATTCCATTAGCAAAGGTATCAGGGAAGAGTTTTCATATATGTGTCCCAAACTCATCTGTTTTATATGTATCTAATATTACTCCTAATGTTTAATAATGTATGACAGTATATTGTTTGGCAATTCATAATTAAATGCAGATTTCCAGAAAAGATGATTAATTCCTATCTATATAGAAAATTTATTGTTTTCAAGTAAAGTCCAGGTCTACATTATCCAATGAATATCATATTATATTCTGAATAATTCCAAAATATGATTTCTTATCTAAAAAAAGAAACATGCTATTTTGCCAGTCTCACAGTTTGGGTCAGCCCCTTTATGTGTGGGAAAATGTTTTAGACTCCTATAATTAAAAGCAAATTAACAAAGTTTACGGTTGAGGGGAGAAAATATATATCATTTACTATTCTTGAATATATATATATATATATATATATATATATATATATATATATATATATATATATATATATATATATATATATATATATATATATATTATATATATAATATTATATATATAATATATATATATATATATACATATATATATATATATATATATATATATAATATATATAGTATATATATATATATTATATTATATATATATATATATATTATATATTATATATACATATATATATATATATATATATATATATATATATATATATATATATATATATATATATATATATATATATATATATATATATTATATATATATATATATATATAATATATATATATATAATATATATATTATATATATATATATATATATATATATATATATATATATATATATATATATATATATATATATATATATATATATATATATATATATATATATATATATATATATATATATATATATATATATATATATATATATATATATATATATATATATATATATATATATATATATATATATATATATATATATATATATATATATATATATATATATATATATATATATGTATATATATATATATATATATATATATATATATATATATATATATATATATATATATATATATATATATATATATATATATATATATATACATATATATATATATATATAGATATAATATAATATATATATATCTATATATATATATATATATGATATATATATCTATATATATATATTATATATATAATATATATATATATATATATATATAATATATATAGTATATATATATATACTATATATATATATATATATATAGGATATATATATATATATATATATATATATATATTATATATATATATATATATATATATATATATATATATATATATATATATATATATATATATATATATATATTATATTATATATATATATATATATAAATATAATAGTTTTATATCAAACAACATATATTTATGTGCTAAATATATGTATTCATATATCACATAAAATATACATCTCTATATTATACCACATATAGTTTCCCCCCTTTAGGAATAATATTAATCAGTTACCAATGTTGAAGCCTACAATAATTTACTTGAAGATACATACCAGAATAGCTATATATTTCAGTCAAAGACAGTTTCTAAAAAAAATTGTACCTACAATAAAATCACTAAACAAGACCCTCGCTAAAAAGACTGGCATAAAATGACAAAAAAAAAAAAAAAAAAAAAAAAAATCATATATGACTTTCCACAAAATATACAATTGTGCTGTGACAAAGATCTAATATTAATTTTTTGCAGGCTTCATAAGTCATAAAATAAAAATCTTTAATCTATTAATAATTGTGCATCCAAAAAAGCTGTACTTAAGTGTGCAATAACTTGTGCTACAAGCTGTTCTTGTGATATTCCAAGGGGGTCTCAGACCAATAGTCCAATAAAACGTTTATTAAACGTTTGGTCAATTCAAACCTTCGTCTATAACTTAAGCATCAAAATATTTACATTAATGCACTCTTATTTTGTGTTTGTAGAGCATTAAAGTGAAAATTTTGATAGTTATGTTAAAGATGAAAGCTTAAATTAACCAAATATTTAACAAATGAAATTGATCTGGGAGCACCTTTGGACGTGCATACCCTCATATAGCAAATACCATGTGCATGAAGGCGTACATGATTGAAAGCACATGCTTCCACAATGTGTAGAAATAATCTTTTGTTACTTCAACACCTACAATAAAAAAAACTCTTACCCTTTCTATTTCTTCAGGATCTTAAATTTCCCTTACTCTTACTCATACACTCACTCACTCACTCAACTCTCTCTCTCTCTGTATTACTGTCATATTCTTTCCAACAAGCCCTGTAAACTCAGTGATCTACCCCAACAATCACACGTATTCCACAATTGATATACAAACCATTTCTGAGGCAGTTCATACCTTCTAAATTTCAAGAAAAAATATTTGATACTCTTCTGTGAAATTAATGTTAAATCAAATTTTGTTATCTAATAAAATATCTAAAACTCCATTTGTATCTAATCACTTATTTGAGCTTCATTAAAAAAATCATGAATCTTCTCTTGCCCAACAGCAAGCATGTTTGGTTGTAAAAACCAAAGGAAGAAAAGTAAGAAAGATGCTGAATGATTTTTCAAGTTATATCAATAACATATATTCAAGTTAGTACATCTACATAATCATACAAGACAACAAAACCTAGTGACATTTTAATATATGAAACAAACTTCAGAATATATTATACATGTGGATAATTATATATCACATTTTGCATAATGCAAATTATTTTCATCTGTTGGGGAAAAAAATTACAAAGGAAAATATGATCAAAAGCACAATTCAAAGATGACTTATATGAATGAGAATTCTTTCAATACTTTCTTCTAATTGTGCACATTAATCATAGAAACATCATGCAATGACAGATTTGTACAGGTTGATTAGGAATGCTATATGCTAACATGCAACAAAAAGGGAAAAATAGCTATATTAGTAAGAAAAAAAAAGGAAAGAAAAAAAATGCACCTAAATATATGGTACTTCATATACTTGTATGAATAACTATTCAACAAGTAAATAAAACCACAGTGTTAAATGCACTTCCCACATAAAATAAGGAACCAACAATTTTCTAAGCAAAACCATCATGCACTCAAGAGACGGGATACTCAAAAACGTTCTTTCCGACTGTTGAGAGGTTCTTCACCACGGGACACCAGAGGAGAAGGGATATCCACACACCAGGAGGAAGGGATAAAAAAAACAGAACCTCACAGCCTCACCTTTACCTTCCATGAGGAGCTCTTGTCCATGGGAGCCCACCAGCGTCTTGGATAGAAACGGGGCAAAGTCCACCATGATCTCCCTTAAAAGAGGAGACACCGACCCTAAAGCCATCTCCAACTTCTGGGTGAGGGAGGCTTCACGTGATGGGGTCGGGATGGGTAAGTCTGAGTGAAGGAAAGGCTTGATGTTGAGGTCTTCTGGTCGATGGTGCTTCACCGAGGATGTCACTGGATCAGGCATGTTGGACGGAGATGAGAGCACTGAAATCTGGCCAGAGAGTTGCTGCTGTGGGTCTTGCTGTGATAGAGACTGAGGTGGCGGCATCTGCGGTGGTACTACTTGCTGTTGTGTAGAAAGCTGCTGCTGCTGTGTCACCTCACTTGTCTCTCCTACACCATATACTAGAAAAAGGAAAACACAAATGTTTTTATGACAAACTTTAGGAAAAGAAAGTTTAATCTGGAATCGATTCCCAGCTTATATCATAAATGTAAACTTGGTTATATCAAGAGAAAACCATTTTTAAACAAATTTTTAAAACATAATACAATAAAAAAGTACAGAAAAAGTACAGTACATTTTCCACAATTCCAAAGTTTGTCTAACAATTTCAAAATAATAATATAACTTCAAAATAACAGACAAATTAAGATAAAATATACCAGATTTCTGGGATTTGGTTTCAACTTCTTCAGGTGTTCCATCATTGAGGTTGACATCAGTCCAAGCATCATCAGTAGGCTGTGCATTCTGTTCCTCATTAAGGCTGACAGCTGCTGATCCAACATCACTTCCGGCTTCACCAACTTCAGAGCCCTGTAAGGATTTACATAGAAATGAAAGAACTATAATTATAACAATGATAATCATGTTAATAATAAAAACGATGACAATAATAAAAATAATGATCGTGATTACAACAATAATAATAATAAAAATAAAAACAATAATAATAATAATAATTATAATGATAATACTAATAATACTAAAATGGAAACTATACAGACATCAAAAGACATACAAGCCATAATTAAATCTTTAAGCTAATCTATCAAGGGTTTAAAAAGGTTACATGCAATTTAAAGAACATATTTCTGTAATGAAACCGATTATTCTCTATAACAGTGCTTATATCTACAGCATCACAATTTGCTTTGGAGTGAGGTGGATTAAACTGGAATGGATTCAACTGCTATAGGATGTGCAGTTTTATTCAGCTGAGCTGGATTAGGATAAGTTGGGTTTAGTTGAATCAAGTCTGCTGTTTGTTGGACAAAATTTCCATAAATAACATCAAACAGCAAGAGAATAAGGCCTTACACAAATACCCTACAGCACTGCATTCTTTTAAAGAAAAATTGTGTCATATCAACTCTGTTGTAAACGATGTTTTAACACATTGCCACCGGATACATATGACATACATTGTTGTTTTCTTTAGTGACACTTGTTTGAACATATATGGCTCCACATTTGCTAAGCCACCAAGGAGTCTGTAGTTCCTATGTGACCTCACCCAATTTCCAAATTCCTTGATTCTTTTTTTTCCATAATGATATTAAAAATGTTTTTTATAATTAATATAATTGAAATCATGATTATCATAATTTTCTACTCAATACTAATGACAATGAAAAAAAAAAAAAATGTTCTGAAAATCACAGAAAAAGGTAGGAGATGAGACAGGAGGGCTAGTAATTGACTCCATGGTGACTAAACTTTTGTGGAGCCATCTATGTCTAAACACAATCAATAAAGTAAAATCACAATGGGCATGGCATGTACCTACCTATTATCACCAGTGGCAATGATCTAAAAGGTACTATACATAATTTATCAAGATATATTTTCATGGGATAAGCATGCCATATCTACTGACCCCAAAACCATCACCTGCAAAAGGAGGTACTACACAAAGTTAAATTTGTCATTGCTAATATTTTTTTCTGTGCACGATTTAATGTTATATGGTTTTCTCCTGATATGCTTCTTTTGTAATCTATTAAATGTATATCAAAGATTTTTTTCCATAGTAAGGAATAGTTAAACATATAACTTAGGTAATTTCAATTAATTCTCAAGAACATGAACACATTCATTTTGAGAAAAATAGAAAGGAATATGCCTTTCAGTTCTAAATGTAGAAATTGATTGTAGCTTCTTTCAGCAACATGAAAATTTAACAAAGCATTATACCTCACAAGTGCTATACATCAAGATTATCAAAATAATCAGAAAAATAAAGAAATGTGCTTAGGATCCTAATTTGAAATGCAGAAAAGTAACGTGTTCAAGTGCAACAACTTCAAAAATCATAGATAATTGTGTACATGTCTGTGCCATTTGTATTGTACCATCAAATGAAAGCAAAGTACTAAACCAAAATATATAAGTGAAGGAAAAAAAAAATATGCAAAACCTACCACCACCATTACCTATGAAACTCAAAGAAGTATTCTGCTATATATGGAAAAAAAAACAAAAAACAAACTTGATACTGACATACATATGATACAGGAACCAATCAGTTCTCATTCACCAAGTGCAGGATGCAATAAAAATCAAGCCTTAAAAGAAATAAACAACACACACAAAAGAAAAATCATGTGGAAAGCCATGACATGGAGCACTGTCCTGGAAACACAACTATACTGCGGAGACTCTGTTACCTTGGGGTTTATCATGTTGTTGCGAGCTACAGGTTTGGTAACCTTAGCCCCATACGCATTACAACCATACTTAGGAACAGGACCAGTTCCTAGAGTGTGGTTAGACTGGGGAAAGACCGGTTGGGTCAGGTTAGTAGTTCTAAAGATGAAAGCCTATGTGTTAGGACTGTGAATCAAGGTAACTGCAGGGATCTAATAATTTCAGACTACTATAAATTGTACATGAATGAATATTAACATATTTCTATTATGATTTCCAGTCTACTTATCATACATTATGTGCTGTTTCTTTTTTGATATCATATCTTTTCTAAGAGGAAAATAAAATCTTGAAAGTGGATATTTTCAAAGTTGATATGAAAAATCAAAACTGAAAAAAAAAAAACTATAAACTATCATCATCCAAAATATCAAGTAACTTTTGCAAAAACTACATTTTCCAAAGAAGAGACAGCACACTATCTTGTTTGCATATCTTTAGCAATGAGGGTATTGCCACTTGCAGAGAAAAGTGCAAATCATGGGCCATTACATAATTCTCAATACAAGAATTTTCTACTGTATTTGCAAATCATTTCCTAGCTACATAAACACAATAATGAAATGCATAAATTTTAGTATAGTTACAAAGCCTTGATACACATCATTATATACAAAATCACTGCATAAATCATAAGTAAATTTTTACAATATCAATAATACTTATCCAATATGCTAACCCAAATCATTTATTCAACCTTGATGAATACTAGAGAATGGTTATTGAAAAAATACTGAGGAGAGCTGGCAATGGATAGTAGAGAGGCAATAATGTGACAAATATGATAGTAAAGGGAGGCACAAAAAAAAAAAAAAAAAAAAGACAACAGAAAGACAAATGAATAAAGAAACACCACAAACATGAAAAAACAAGATAAAGTTTTTAAAAAAGTAAAAGTAATTATACAATAATAAAAGAAAAAGGATGGAACAAAAGAACCCTAGAAATTTGATAAAATAAATCAAACAGAAAATGGGAGATTCTTTAACAATAGGATTACAATTTTTATTTTGAGTTCTGATACATCTTTGGCTGCCAGGCTGTTCTAAGCAACCAAAGTAAAAATCAGCTTATTTCTTAGTATCATTATGAGACATACAGTTATATAAACAATTAACCCTCTACATCAGCTTCCTTAATTTTCTGTAAAACAAGGGGTAATCTCAAATAAAGATAAATAATTATCTAATGTCTAAAGATTACAAATTCTGGTTACATTTTACACGTGTATAAGCATACCTTAAGAGATGGAGGTCCTGAGGAGGCAGTGGAACAGGGGTCTGATGCCAGAATGGAGGAATTATGTTGATCTACAACAATAACCTCATATTCACCATCCTCGTCAACTTCTCCTGTGCGCTCAGTACCTGAAATTCATGTAAAATGAGTCATTTTGCAATTGCATATTCAAAATTTGTCTCTAAAGATTGTTAAGCTTGTGTTGAGTGATGTAATAAATATATTTACCAGATTATCCCAATAAGAAAACTTTGCCATTTTGGCTGTTGCTTTTACAGTATATCTGCATCACAAAGTAACTTTTTAAAGCTATTAGATTCACTGTACAATAACATATGACTAAAAATTGGGATATTTTTTTTCACTTAATAAGAACTCAAAAAAATGCACCTATATTTAGTAGCACTACAAAAGCAAACTTATAACCTAAATACATGGTAATGAATATATGAAATGTGGACACAGATCATAACTCTTAAGAGCCACATAGTTTTACTGGTGTGTGAGTGAAAAATAGAAAATAAAAAATTACTTATTTACATATACCTAGAAGATCTGCAATAAAACATAAGCAATTACATAATGATATAATTCTGTCTCTCGCTCCTCCTTTATGTGTATATATACACAGAAACACACACAAATGCACATACACACTATATTTCATATATGTTTTTACCAAGAGTTCATAAATCATTTAAGTAACTCTTGTACTTCACCATCAATCTGGTTAATTGTTTCCACTGTCAAAGTTGTTGTGCAGTATTCATATCATTTGGAGCTTATTCAGCTAGTTATAGCATCTATATATATATAATGCTCATCATTAACTTCACCCGCATATATTCTAAAAATATAAAGGAACTTGGTATTATAAAAGAAAACATATAGGATATTTGAAGACACATCTTCAATCTACAGAATCACATGGGATTATTAAAGTTCAAATCTTCTGAATGAAACATCAGGACAAGCAACAGAGAGCATAAAACACAGGCCTACTGTTGGCAATGCTTTGCACCGTGATAAACATGTAACTACCTTTGATACAAATCTGGCAAAACATATCAGGTGCTAAGACAGCTATATAGTGTTACTTACAAACACATAATATAAATAGCCACTTAATAAATTTATGCAGCTTATGGCATTTACAAATAAAGTATACTTGCATACTATACTGAAAACAACGGATTCTTTTACTCAAATCTGTAAGACAAAACAACAAGGTGCCAGATATTTTACAACTTCTACGTGATCTCCAGACGTCTACAGTGTACCTTCTTTATTCTTGTCTTTCTCCTGTGGAGAGTTTTCTTTTGCATCAGGAGTCTGCAAATGATCCTTTTTGACTGTCTTGCTTCGTCCTCCAAAAAGAGTTACCTTCCAAGACTTCTCTTTTGCTCTTCCAAAGAGACCAGTGGAGGAACTACCAGGCATGTATTTGGGATCTATTGTTTGAGTGAAAGATGGCAGCATTGGGGAAGTAGCGGATGTTTTTGTTTTATGCACTACACCCTTGCTACCACTAGAAGACAGTGTTGCCTCCAGTGGTGAATCTTTCGTCTCAGGTGCAGAAGTCTGTACAATGCTAGGAGGGAGTGTCTGTTTGAGATTAGACTGCATCACTGAAAGAGTTAAAGTTGGTAGTCCACCTGCACCTCCACTCTCGCCTGTGGATGACAATGATGGTTCCAAATCGCCTGTTTTCCCCAGGTTCTTGGAAACTACCTCTGAGACAGTTGATGTCATCTCCATGGGTAACACTGCTACTTCATTTTCTTTATTACCCTTTACTTCATCTTGACACCTCTCACCTTTTTCTAATTTTGGAGTCTCTTTACTGGATGCTGTTCCTTGTTTATCATCGACCTTGTCTGTGTCTTTTTTATTGCCTTCATTTGATGCTTTCTCTTCTGATGACACAGACATATCACATGCAGCAAAAAAAGGATAATCACAACATCCTACCAACATTCAAATCATGATAAAGATATAACAGGAACCACTAAAGTACAATCATATAATTATAAATTTGTCATTCAAATTCTTGCACCAAATTGACTTCCCAAATTATCATAAAATTAACTACTATAAAACCTACCTGAGAAATGGTGTTGTGTGAATGCCCCATTGGTGTGAGCTGTCTGGGGAGGTGGGGGAGGAGAGGAGGGGGCATTGGTGGGAGGTTCCAGGATGTCCCTATACTTTGACACCATCAGCACCGAGATAAAATAAACAATTGCTAATGACAGGAACTGTGCTTGCTTGGTTTCCTCCTGTAAGAAATGAAAATAAATCAAGTTATTAAACAAGCACTTTTCTCTTTTATCTGAAAACAACTAAAAACTTTTCTGTGGCATCAGTCTTCACTGGTATATGATTCTGACTGGTAATTTTTATTAGATTTTAGTTCACTTAATTGATTTTAAATAAAAAGTATAACAATATGTAATGCAATGAATTCTCTAAATGGTACAAAGGAACTGATGTCATTCAAAAAGGGTACAAAAAAAAAAAAAAAAAAAAAAAAAAAAAAAAAAAAAGGAAGAAAAAATGAATGGGCCAAAGTTTGCCTAAAATACATCTTTACAGTATTTCCTCAAAATCCTTTTGGGTTTAGAGTAAGGTAAGTTTCCAATTCAAATTCAGGAAGTTCACCTTGCAAAAATTCAAGCAGGAAATCACAAAAATAGGGATCACAGACCCGCAAAATAGTAATCTGCGTACATACCACATCACGATATATAACAGCCCTGAGTCTGTTGACATCCATATCCTGGAGAAGTTTCTCTGGGTCTCTAACTGGACTGTTCTGTGTACCCAGGTTCTCAACTATGTTCTGTGTTAAGAGAGAGGACTGTGTCAAAAAAAAGAAAATATTTGAATATGATGATAGTAAGTACTCTCTCTTTGAACGGCTCTTTGACAATTCGTTTATAATTTCACAAGGAAAAAACTTGTAGATTAAAAGTAAAAATCTACAAAAAAAAAACTTACACTTTTCCTTCTAAAACTGTTTTAAAAGCTTTCTATAAAAAAATCTACAGTTAAAAATAAAGCTAAAAAGTTCTAGGCAAAATCAACTCATCCAGTACAAATATCCTGTATGGTTTTAAACTTTAAGAGTCACCTTCGGAGATGCCTGAGCTCCCCTTATTAGAGAGTGAATGTGTCTTGATTTACTAACAGGTTTGATGCCATTGCCACTTGCCCCATTAGCATCCTGAAGGCGTGTCCTTTCGCGACACTCCAGACAATTTCTTACAGCAACTGTGCAAACCTATAATACACAGATATCTAAAGTCAGCAATTTTGAAACAAATAAAAAAGTAAATTAATATCTAAACAGCCAATCCTGATGTCTTTAATATCATAAAAGAACATATCAATTCATAACCAATATTTCATATCCTTCAACTTCTATTCTTGAATACTAGTTGTTCACATACCAGTCGTAAACACTGTCTGAGAATGCCTCCACTTGACATGTTTTTCTCTGCTTCCAATTCTGAGAAGTTGAGTGATGAAGCAAACACAAGGACATCTGCCATGTTCACTAATCGATGCAAAAAAGAAACAGCCACTTCTACTCCCATCCCTTGTGTTGGCTCCAGCACATCTAACTCATTCTGCAAATCAACCAGTTTACAGTATCAACAAAGTAGAGCGTTTTACCATTCATAATTCAGAGTACATACAAAAGTAAAGTCATATAACAAAATAAAACAGAAGGTATACAAAAGATATCTACAAGCTTCATAGAGAAACAGACACAAAGAATGACACAAATAAAAAAAAGTACTTACATTAGGTGAGGTAGCCGATGCTAATAATGGCAATAGGCCACCACAAGCAATAATGAGATTGTCTGCCAGCTGAGATATGAGGTGAACTGTGTTAACCACAAAGATGGCATTTTCACTGTTGTTTACAAAGTCCAGTACACTCTTTGTGGAGTGGCTGTAAAGACCGAAAGTAAAATATGAAAAAATAGTCTTTAAGACTACATATTATTTTCATCAATCAATCTGCTGTTCTAAAAATACCTAAAAAATCATAAAACAATATAAAGGGTTGATGCATACCTTCTCCACACTTGCATATCAGTTTCTAAGGAGAATAACACATCTGATAAAAGTCTCTGGTGAATGTATGACCACCTGAACTCTGGGATTCTGAAAGGCGGCCGTGTAGGTCCTGAGGAGAATATCTGGCGAGAATGGGACTGTGAAGAACCAATAGAGGAACTTCGGGAGACTGATGCTGACTTGCGCTCTGATTCACCTGTGGACAAAGTGTTTTTTATGTTTCAGTATTCTAAACATAAATAAAAATCTCCTTCCATGATCTATGTATTAATATGCATATAACCAATTAGCTAATAAATATAAGCAAAATTAATTAGTACTTACTCTGTCTGTCTTTTTCCTTTTCTGCATTTGCTTGACTTGTCAATGAAATTCCATGTCTTTTCAAACCAAGATCAACTTGGTCTTTTGATAATCTTTCCACTTCACTGCTTTTTACAAGAGAGTTTTCTTCCACCATCTTAGCTTCCACCTCCTTGTCATCCTCTACAGGAGGATGTACATTTTCACCAGATTCAACCTGTACCTGAAGGATATCTTCTGCCTCTAATCTATCTATATCATCATCTCCTGTTTCCTCTGTCTGGGATTCTTTGTCCCTGGGCCTGTGTCTGGAACTTGAAGCTGGAGTAGCCTCTTGGGATGGTTGCTCTTCAGAAACAAGAGCATTGGGCACCCCTTCCACAGTCTCTGAATAGGTTCTTTCAGTGGTATGATCGAGTTGTCCCTTTTTTTCTGTGCTTTTGTTTGTGCCTGGTAGAAATGACATGTCCTTCTTGGGAGTACCTTCAGTCTCTGTACATGAGGAACTATGAACCATTGTAACGGGTGAATCCTGAACCTCTATATCTGATGATGCAGGTTCACAATTACCATCTTTACTTGGGGAACAGAGAACCTCTTCCATGCTTGATTGCAAATCTTCCACAGTGGAATCTTGTACTTCTTTATTTGTCAATTGTACTTCAATCTTGGTCTGCTCTTGTTTGTCTTCAGCTAAAGTCTGACTGGTACTTTGAGTCAACAAGTCTTTTTTGGGAGTTGTAACAGCACTACTAACAGGACTAGAAGCTGCAGGGGAAGAGGCAGAATTAGCAGTGGTTTGTACATTATCACAGGCTTTAGAAGGTAGGGTTAATAAACCTTCAGAGGCAGATATTTCTATTTTTGATGTGTCTGGTGGAACATCTGACACTGGTGTTTCTTCTACATCAGTATCTTTATTACTAACTAAAGGCGGCTGTCCCTCTATAGTATCATTTTGTCTTTCAGAGGCCTTTGCTTCTGGGGCTATGCTTTTGTTGTCACTCAGTGTTTCCTTTGTTTTTTCTTCAGCATTCGTCTGCTCAGTACTATCCACTGATGGGACTTCCTGAACATCATTTACAGGAGCCTGATTTGAATCCTTTTCTTCAGTTTCCTCCTTTGCTTCTGAACTTTTGCCAATAACATCAACCACTTGAACTTCGCCTTCCTCATCAGTTTCCTTCACTCCCCTCTCTTTCTCACATTTATCCTTCTCATGTAAGCTTCCTGAGATAGTTGCAATCATCGGTTGCTGAGGTGCTGGAAGTGCTACTTCAGGAATTTCTGAACTTTCATTCTCTTCAGCACTTCCTCCTTCTTCATTTTCTTTCACTTTGTCAGTTTCCTCCTTTGTTCCTTCTTTCTCTTCTTCTCTAGGTTTTTCTTTTTGTTCATCCTCAACTTTTTCCTTTGTTTCTACTGCCTCAGTTCCATCAGAGGTATCAGGAGTTTTTTCTCTTTGTGTCTCCTCTGCTTTTACAACTGCAATGCTTTCTTCACTACTTTTGGGCTTCTCATCAGATGTGGTGTCAGCTGTTTCTTCTTTATCTGGCTTCTCCACTGATGGAATGACTGTAGTCTTGGTTTCCACATTTTCTGTATCTGATCCTTCTTGTTTGTCTTCATCTTTCTTCTCTTCTTCATCTGACTTGCTCTCCTCATCTGCTGTGCTTCTTTCACCTTTCTTTGGTGTATCGGGATCTTCTCTGGCAACATCTTCAATTTTCATGCCCTCCTTTTCTTTCGTTGTTTTATCCTTTTCCTCTTCTGCTACCTTCTTTTCACTCTTCTCCCCACACTCCTCTATGGTCTTATTATCCAAATGTCTGTTATCCAGGGTATCTACCTCTACACTGCTAGTGTTGAGCATTTCATTACACCTAAAATCATCTGGGTCAGATATACTAACTTCTCCTTGGATTTGCACAGTTGTTGGATTGCTTTCTAAAGGTTTTAGATCTGATGAGGAGGTGGTCTCTAAAGTCCGTTCTATGGCACTATGAGAAGCTTCACCCTTGTCTTCTGCCTTTAGTGCATTACCTCCACTAACACTACCCAAACTGTAACCTAGACTCTTGTCCTCTTTGGGCTCTACTTCTTCTAAAGGTTTCTGAAGATGCTCCTGGTGAAGTTGTTCTTTGTCCTCTGTTATTTTGATGCCCTGACTTCTCTCCTTTAATGCTAAGTCAGTTTCTAAGTCTTTGGGAAGTTCTTGAACTGGTTCAGGGGTGCTGGAAACTTTCCCATTTTCAACAGCAGGCATTTTTTCTCCAACAATCTGAAACAACCAAGAAAATATTAAATTTAAGTATTTTAGAATTAATACTAATACAGGAAATTAGTATTCAATAATAACTCTTTGTGGAGTTATAGGCCTATTGTAAAATTCAAAGTAACTGCTACCAACGTATAAATCACAGTCACATCTAACACATTTCCCTTACATCACAGCTCCAAGATGTACCATATGCAAAAGAAAAACAACCAAACTTACCTCTGATCCACTGCCATTGGGGTACACATCTGTGTTTACATAGTACTGTCTGCTTGCCGCCTGATCCCAGCCAGAGATGGTAGAAATTGGCCTCTGTTGCCGGATGGCTGGGTCAGTGATGTTATCTGACCGATGCCTCTCATACTGCTCATACATCTGAGCGAACTGGAGTTTGAATTCTTCATATGATACCTGATGAAATAAAGAAAAAAAATTAATCATTTTTCTTGGTTAAATAAGAATGCTATATATGAAATATGATCCGCACATGTTTTAACATATTTGTGTTAACATACAAGACAATATCAACAAACATTCTTTCTTACTTGATTTTTACATATATCATTAATTATTGCTGCTACAGATATTCCAAAATCTTATTAACATTTTTCAACTATCAACCAATACCATAAACAAAGTATTTAGTAAATGCCTTTTCTAGAAAAAAGGACAAATCCTCTGTTCTCTACATAATGTGATTTGAGTTCTGTGCTTTCCAAGAAGTTCATTTTCTGAAAATTACCTTAGAATGAACAATGGCCAATGTGTCAACCCAAACTCTCCAGCCTCCATATTCAAATTTGATGGCATGATGGAGCAGCATTCGGAACAGAGAGTAGACCATGTCACTGATCTTTTGTTCCTCTGTTGTTCTTGGGTGGATGTATGCCAGTGCAATGAGCCATTCCTGAAAAGAAAAGGTTTACAATCAGATTCTTGAGTTTACACTATTACAGATTTAACTTTTCATAACTTCACTTTTCCAGTGGATATTCTGAATTTGTATCAAAATCATGATGATTATCTTTCAGTGTACCATAAAAATTATGGTCAAACCTTTTGTCAAACAGAAATAAATAAAAAACACCTGCTAACCATGTAAAACTGGCTGTTTTCCTTACCTGCCATACTGACATCTGCAAGACTGTTCTCCTGTTGTCTCTATTGTTATTACAGAGTAGTGTCATATCCGACAAGAACAGCTTCTTCACCTCCATTAATGAATCAGAGGGTTTGCTTTGGCGAATCAGAGTTGCACAAACTTTCAGGATCACTGAAAATATATATCATATCAGTATATATGTACCATCTGAATCAAATAATCATCAATAAAATATGTATAATACAGTAAAAGAAGTATTCATCACACACTATAAGTCAATTCCAATTTCATTTCAATATGTTGAACTTATAAAACAAAATTAACTAAAAATCTAAGTACCTGCAACATCACATTACATGACAAATTCAAAATCAAATTTGCTATTAAAGAGAAAAAAATATATCACTTACTTGGGTTTTCTAGACGGTAGTGTGATTCTGGTTCTGGATGTTTGCAATACATGACTTGCTGACTGATGTGCTCAGTTAGAATCTGTCACCACAGAGTTACCAATTTAGTAAAAGTAATTCATAATTATCTAAAAAATATATATTCATATACCTTAAATGAAAATGGATATCTTAAGAAATAAAACAAAAACTGTGCACAGTACCAAATTCATTGTATAATCTTTAAAAAAAAAAAATATATATATATAAATATACATATATATATATATATATATATATATATATATATATATATATATATATATATATATATATATATATATATATATATATATATATATATATATATATATATATATATATATATATATATATATATGTATATATATATATATATATATGTATATATATATATATATATATATATATATATATATATATATATATATATATATATATATATATATATATATGTATATATATATATGTATATATATAATATGTATGTATATACATATATGTATGTATATATATATATATACATATATGTATGTATATACATATATGTATATATATATATATGTATATATATATATATATATATATGTATATATATATATATATATATATGTATATATATACATATATGTATGTATATACATATATGTATGTATATACATATATGTATGTATATACATATATGTATGTATATACATATATGTATGTATATACATATATGTATGTATATATATATATATATATATATATATATATATATATATATATATATATACATATATATATATATATATATATATATATATATATATATATATATATATATATATAGATATATACATATAACAATAAAAATATAAAACATATATTCAAATCATCAAATTATCTCATTATCAGCTTTTATCAAGAAAGAGGAAGTCATACCTCATAAAGACAATTGTAGGTTGGTAAGGTGAGCGTTTCCTCATGCACCAGTAGTCTCTCGGCAAGAAGTGTGTACAGGTTGTGGGGGTTCATGACATCGTACTTGCGCCTAAAATGAGCCATCACGTCATCATGTTCACTGTGGACCAGCCACCACCTGGATGGCGCATTGGTGGTGGTGGTGTTTGGTAGTAGTGAAGTGTGTGTTGTTGTGTTACATTTACAGTAGTAGTGTTAGTGGTGAAAGTGATTGTTGTAGTAGTAGTGGTTGTGGTGGTAGTTGGTGGTGGTGGTGGTGGTGGTGGTTGGGGGCAGAACCAGCCAGGGCACAGGGGCACAGGGGAGAGAGAGAGAGGGACACGATCACAACACACACGCGGCACTACCAACGCCCCAAGACTCAAGCGGCACCAAAGTATCAAAATCTCTACATATAATCACTCAGTCAAAGGCCAACATAAGAATCCCCTGACAGCATTAGGCTTGATAACAAAGAGCTCATTTATTTAATACAAGTTAATCAGATAGGACTATTCTTGTACCGCTTAGTCTGTATCTCTCACAATTGCATCAGACAGGATGTACAAGGACTCTGGGGCTGTAAATCAACTCTTAACACAAGTAAAACAATTGAACAAATTTATACACTCAACAATGGCTCTAACACGAGATAAATAAAATAAAAAGTAAGTAAATCTACATCTTGCAAATGTTTCTAAATGACATTACTTGAAAACAATGAAGGATTTTTAATACTATAAGAGGAACGTCTGTACATCTGGTGTGCTTGTAAGCCAGTGGGCATTGGAATTAATTTTGTAGAGTATGGGAAAACAGGGAAGTCAAGGGAACCACAAAGGTAAAACTAGTGAAATAAGGGTAAATATGTGCATAAAGAATATCAAAGCTTAAAGAGAATCTGGAGTATTTCAGATTATTTCTTATAATATTTTGTAAATAGTATAAGAAAAGCTCTACCACAATAGTGGCTCTATTCACAGCAATCTCTGATTGCAATAAAATATTGATATATGCATAACACATGATAAAATGCTGCAGCCAGTATTCTAGAGGTTTTGAAGAAAAAAATGTAAAATGATAACAAATCTGGAAACAGCTGAGATAGCACACATGCAAAGAAACAAAAAATGCACACTCTTCCCATTCATGACCACAGCACAAACATTCACAAGATGGGGAGCATCATGCAGGATTGTCTAATGTGTACAGTGTTGGGGAAAACACCAAGCCATGATAACTCACATTCTGTATAGGGAATTGTCTCTGCTCAGCTTGTGCTTGACAAACATGTTTCTTAAATGTAGAATATATAAAACTTATTATACTATAAACAAAACTACACATTCTTCTCAAATGATTTGGACTGTATACTTTTGAAACTATGTTTTCTACTATTAATGTTATCATATGATCCTCACTTTTTCCACTTTTTCAGTCACAATATATTCAAAGGAGTATGATTAACATAGCCTGAAATTAACTAATCCCTATTCAACAAAGCATTGAAAATAGTTAAACCCTTTTTAAAAAATCCCCTAAAAGTACTCCTAATCTAAATTTCTACTGAAGTTTAATAAAAGTCTTTGCCACAAACAAAATCGCATTCTTTTAACAACAACAAAAAATGACTGGTAACTAATAATACAACCTCTAATGTTTTACAGATTACCAGTTACTGCCAGTATGCTTTATGACTTGCTGAGAAACATTCCCTAGAAAATAACTTTAAGAGGCAGAGAAACTTTATCACTTAGCTATAATATAAATGGGTTAAGAAGCTCAGGTTAAAATAGCTCTGTTGCTAAAACAATATGTACAACATTTTTACTGGCATGCAGCAATGAATTTATCTGAAACTGTTACCAAGTCCTTAAATTTTATCATCAGTGCTGAACTATCTGATATGTTATAATCACACTAAGATGAAATATCTTTACTTCATTCATTTAATGGCAAAATGACAAATAACTATAAATCACTGCAAACATTCATAGATTAATAAATCATTCAAATATAATAAAAGTAAACATCAAATTTCAAAATCATATGATTCCTAAAAATAATAACTTGGCAAAGCACCTCTACTCCATTCAAGAAGTCAATTGCATAACATTCAAGCTTATCAAATCCTAGTTACATTCCAAAAATTCCTTAAGTACTTAAAGCAAGTGAATTCTCTACTACCAAAATAGTTCTAATCCAATAAACTGATGCCTGAGATCAACTTTACCATGATAGTTTAATCTAATACATCTCCTAACTACGAATTATTCTCTTTTTCTTCTGAAATAACAGCAAAATTAAATTAAATCAATCAAATTTGAATTTTACTTCAAAAGCATACAAGCTGTATCCATGTCAACAACTTGAACTCATCCTGGAAAAACTTTACAGAAAAACAATCTTGGCAAATCTAAATCATATCTTGTAATAAACATATTCTATTCATCTAGTGTTATTTGTTTTCCAAGTATTCAGTATAACAACAGACACAGTTTGGATGCCTGTTCATGTGCCTGCATAGCAAGCTGATCTCAAGTAACACTTTTGAAGCTGGAGTAAACTTTACACGTACTTGTGAGTGGATCTGGAGAGGAAGTAGCCAAGCAGCTTGAGTGCTTGAAGCCGGATCAACTGACTCTCTGAAGCAAGGAGTTTGAAGACTGTACGAACTCCATGCTTAGCATCAAAGGCTGGAACCATGGAAGATGGGTGTTCTGACATGAGGGACATGAGCATCTGGAGAACATCATGGAGGTTTTCATCCTGAAATAGACAGAAATTGTAAGTTTCAAGTAAAGAAGTAAAAATCTTTCTTACCAAATATAGAATTATGGAACACTCTTTTTAATATCAGCTTAGGCACAAAGAAACAGATTA